AGCTAAACCCATGTCCACAAAACTACATGTTTTGTGATCCATCATGGCTAGCAGAGTGGGTACTTATGTACAGTCGGGATCCATTAGAACCCAAGTTTGGAGTATAGCTATTGGCTGAGAAGAACCCAATGCATAAAGCCTGTAATTGGTCGCTCTCTGGGCTCTTCCAGCGTCCGTTCTCTCCATCTTGTGAGCATTTGATGGCCACCTAGAACTTGAGAACTGAAAAACTTTCTTGTGCAAAAGAGGCAGGGGAATACCTTGTTTTCACCATTAAAAGGCCTCAAGCTCTCTACAACTTCAATGAGGTATTGGGTTTCCCTTCCTCGGCGAGTTTTTGAAGTTGGTATTGGATTTGTTGCTATCTAAAATTACCCATACAAGAAAATCCCATATTATGTGGGATTGAGATATTCCCATATTATATGGGATTGAGATTGATGTTGATATTTGATAAGTTTTATAAAGGAAATAGAAGTCCAAAGAGATTATGACTCTTTGATGGATGTATTTCTTGGTTTTTGAGATATATGTAACATCTATATGAAGTTTCCTATTTAGTGTGGATTCTTAACCTTATACATGAGATGAAAGTGCTGAGAATTCATGTGCCTTATTTGGATCACTATATGGGAAATATGATTTCCCCTAGAGATAGAGGGGGGCAGAGCCTCCTATACATAAGATGTAAGGTTTCCTCTTAGATGTAAGTGAGCTTCTTATGGAGAAAAACATTGTGATGGTACCCTCTTTTAGACTCCCGAAAATTGAGAAGCTTATTTCTTATAGAGAAGTAGTTCTCATTGAGATTTTGGGTGATTTCCCTTTGTAGTTAAAGGGAGAGTCAGTTTCTCGTTGCTCACGCGTCTCTATATGGTATTGTTGGTAATGGTTGCCAAAAGTAAAGAGAATGAAGGAAGAGTAGTTTAAAAGGGTTTGCTTGACTGGGTTTTGTCGAGATTAGATAGGTAACTCTATATCCCGAAATCTTTGATGTAATTTTCATTGGTACAGTGGATTTCAGTTTGCCATGGTCGTGGATATAGCCCTTCTAGGGTGAATTGAGTAAATCTTTGTGTTCTTTTGTATGTGTATTTCGTATTTTATTTATCGTACTTTATTTGCCAAAATCAACCCGTCAGGTTTAGAGCTTCCTCACACAACAAGTAGTATCAAAGCTTGGTTTGGGGTTTTCGGTATGATAGTAAAGGTTTCGCATGCAAAGTTTGAAGTGGAGAAATTTGATGGCAACCACTATTTTCAGCAATAATGATGAAGAAATTTATTTGGCAATAGATAAAGAATTAATGATGCTATTCAATAGATGTTGGCATGGTGAGAAAGTGATTTTGATATCAAGATGGTGAAAAATGATTTGCTTGACTGAGTTTTGTCGAAGTTAGAGAGGTAACTCTTTGTCAAAAAATATTTGATGTAACTTTCATTGTTATAGTGGATTTCAGTTTGCCGTGCCCATGGATATAGCCATTCTGGGGTGAACCACATAAATCTTTGTGTTCTTGTGTATGTGTATTTCGTATTTTATTTCTCGTACTTTATTTGCCAAAATCAGCTAGTCAGGTTTAAAGCTTTCGCGTACAACAGTTGGGGGGTGAGATTTTATGGGTTTTACCTTTCTCTCTTATTGGTGGGGTAACATACTAGAAGTAGAGAGAAATCAATTTACTAGTGAGAGAAGGTGGGTAGAGAAAGAGAGTGAGGGTAGAGAGAGTGGGTAGAGAGAGAAAAAGAGAGAGGGTAGATAGAGAGAGTGAGAGATGATAATGGCATTTTAGTTTCAATTTTTTTTGACGTTTTGAATTGAGGGTTGAATACAAAACAAATAATATTTGGGTTTAAGGTGTGATGCTAACAGTACTGGGATAAAATGTCTACGAAGTTCATTTTAGGGGTATCTATAATTTTGCCAACTAGTAATGACTTTTTTATTTAACGAAACACATATTCAACATGTTAACACTAAGGCTTTAGACTATTTGAGGTAGGCTCTAGAGCCCCCCGACTCTTATATACTCATATGGAAACGATCGGGCCCTATGAAACGTGCTAAGGTATGCATATCACGTTTTGGTCACATCAGTGTTTGACTATTCGGGTGAAACTTGGACTCGCCCCAAGTAACTTAGATGAGCTAGGGTGGCAAGTTCGAGTACTCCTCAATTGGGGCATCTTAATTGTTTTTTTTTTAAATATATATTTTTAAATAATAAATTTATTTGTAATTTTTTTAATGTTTTTTATCATTTTGGTAAAGATTGGAAAGTATTTTGGTTATAAACACTTATTTTCACATTTTCCTTCGTTTCGAATTATTTGTAAAATATCCCCATCAAAAATTCATTTTTCAAAATCTATTTTTACTACTTTATTTACCTCATTTAGATGTGTTTTATTTATTCATACTTGAAAAATATTTTTCCTATTATTTTTTAGAAGTTTTTGTATCGTTTTCATTTTTAACCGTTTTTAGCTTCCCCTTGCATGGGCCGAGTACTGAGCGTGAGACGATCTTTGTCACATGACTGTGGGTTGGATGGGCAATGTCTATGACAAGCCTCCCGCACATGAAGAACTCGACACCCTCGTCGAGTTGTCGTGCAAGTACTTCAGGACTGTCTTTCAACAGTCAAAATGTTGATATTATTATTATCCGTGTTTGCAATATCGGTCAGTTCAACTCGAAACTGGTCGGTGAGATTCGAAACAGGCACTAGACAGTTTTGGTTTTGGTGATCTAGTCCCGTATTTAAAACAAAATAAAATCCAAAAAACTAAAGGATTTGTTTGTAATGTATTTTTTAATATTTTTTTATCATTTTGGAAAAAATTGGAAAGTGTCTTGGCTTTGAATACTTGCTTTACATATTTCCATCTTTTTTGAAAAAAAAAAAAACCTTGGGCACAAATCAATTTTCTGAAATCAATTTTTTTCACTAATTTTCAACTTCATTTGGATGCGTGTTATTTAATCATGCTTTAAATATTCTTTTCATATTTTTTATTTTTTTTATATTTTTTAACAATTTTTTGACCTGTCGGAACTTGCTCAATTAAGCCACTTGAACAAGGCCAATGTACCGGTTACTCGGAACTGCCCCTGGGTGGCTTATGAGGCTGGGTCGATTTTTTGAACACTGATTATTGTACTAGCCAACTTTGATAAGCTGATATCTTCCATCACAATCCACCAAAGTCAATTAGGATTCACATCAAAACTGTACTTTGTTTTCATAAAAGACCTAGGACTTGAGGCTCAGAAAGCGTTTATTAGTTCATCACCGTCGAATCAATTGATCGGTAATAGGGAGATAGTGAGACGTATAATTTAGGCATCCCTCTTACTCCATCACTCGTTCCCTAGCTGATCGGACGATCATAATACCAATAACCACATAATTTCTATGCTGATATCAGTTAGTAGTATACTCCACCTCGAGCAGCACTTTTGTTCTGTCTTATAGCCATCCAACTAAGGATCAGTCCGCTACCGTTGTGACTTTACGCCTGTAATTTTGCCGATCGTTTCATTCAATATCCAAAAATAACTGAGGCCTTGGAGTTCTAAATACCAACCTTTGAAGGCTTCAAATTATACCTTTGTGAAATGGAAAATAAAAAAAAAAACTTGTATAAAGTTTGATGCTAGGTGCATCAAAAATCTAAAAAAAATGCTATTTTATCTTGTTATTTTCAGGATTTTTTTATGTATTTTTAGATTGCTTGATTTGAGCTATCTTTAGAAATGAAAATTTTAAAATAAAAAATAAAAATAAATTCCCAAACCATAAGTTATCCTAATAATTTTTTGTTCTAAAACTGTATCTTATAATTTTTTTTTGAGGTATGCCGTTAAAAGCGGCTACCTAATACGAAACCACACCTTAAGGTTTAATGATGATAACGAGTTGGGAAAAGTTTATATAGAGCATAGGCTCTATACAATTAAATTTGAGCTTATCTCAAAAATTTTAGTAGAAGAGGTTGTTTTGATGCTCAAATATACGAAATTGATCATATCTCAACATCAAGATGCATGGACATGAGAAAAAAATGGATTTTAAGTTTTGGAAATAGTGTGTTTTGTAATACATTTTTAGACCGTCAATTTTCAAGATTTTCAAATTAGATCTATTGATCTACGCCATTTTTGAAGCTTTAAACTTTATAAATAAAGATAAAAATATATTTTAAAGATATCACAAATATTTTCAGTATTGAAACTACATTTCTCAATACTATTTGAGGTAGGCTCTAATTTGATTGTTTAGAGCCTAGGCTCTATGCAAAACCGCACCTAACTAGTTTTCCCTTTGATTTGACATAAATTAATATTATTGAAGCAGCAATCCTTGCACATTAGGAAATGTATAAATATGTAAGAGTTCCGACAAAAATCATTCGACATGCGCACGCATCCTTCCATTCGCTTACCCCCTCTCTCTCTCTCTC